GTGTGTGTGTGTGTGTGTGTGTGTGTGTGTGTGTGTGTGTGTGTGTGGGAGAGAGATGGAGACAGGGACAGAGAGAGAGAGAATGGGGGTGGGGGAGGGGAGGGAAGGAGAGAGAGATTGGGAGAGAGAAGGCAAGTGAGATCAGGTGCACATTTGCCAGAAAGTGCTGGGCACAAGCCCCAGAGATAGCTGACTCAGTGTGGCGCTCACACACACACTGGCTGGCTGAGGGCAGCCCGCGGGGTGGCTGTTCTGATCTGGACCACAGGCTCCGGCTCAGTAGGTGAATTCAATAGAGGATCCACAGGCTTTCCTGGACTCACCAAGGCCCACCAGTGCTGCTGAGCTTTGGGGAAGAAACCTTCTGGCAACCTGGGCACCGCGGTCCTGGGTCTGCCCCTGGCCATCCAGACTCCGGGCTGGGGATTAGGTGCTTATAGTAATGCCCTAAGCCTGGCCAGCCTAGGAAGATTATGGAGGACATTAGCAGCAGACTGCAGAGGGATCTGGGTAGTCGAAAGCCTAGGTGGGGGGGGCAGGTCAACCTCATTTCCTGCCCCTCCTGCCAGGTTTATGGGCAAAACGGGAGAAGAGACAGGACAGCTCATCCCTTCCTCACAGGAACAACTGGGGCCGGACCTGGGCTCGTCCCAGGCCTCTGGTCAGAGGGTCGGGCTCCCCACCTCACTGGGTGATGAGCTAAGACGGCTCCATACTGTGGCATCAGCATTCTTCCCCTGGTCTCTGGGTCAGGGAAGCTTCAGAATCCTGTAGGTGGCTCCCCAGAGGTGGGCAGGTGGATGGAGTCCCTACCCCAGCCCCTCTCCGATTGCCTGATGGCAAAAGGAGAGCCTCCCCTGGCCCCAGCGTGACCCCCTGGAGCCAAGCGGGCCTGGCCAGCTGCTGACAGCTCCCTCTCGCCTCTCTGCAGGTCTGGCACCATGAGCAGCCACCCTGGCCTCTAGCCATCCCTCGCCCACGCCCCAGCGGCAGCATGGCTGGGGACCGGCTCCCTCGGAAAGTCATGGATGCCAAGAAGCTGGCTAGCCTCCTGCGCCGGGGAGCCGGGGGGCCCCTGGTCATCGACAGCCGCTCCTTTGTGGAGTACAACAGTGGGCACGTGCTCAGCTCCGTCAACATCTGCTGCTCCAAGCTGGTCAAGAGAAGGCTGCAGCAAGACAAGGTATCCATTACGGAGCTCATCCAGCCAGCGTCCAGGATGAAGGTAGGCGACCGGCCCTGACCGTGAAGCATGTGACAGATGAGGAAACTGAGGCCCAGAGAGGGCAAGGGACGACGAGCAGAGCGAGGCTGCGGCCAGCTCACGGGTTGTGAATTGGGGGGCCCTTCTCACTCATTTAGTCCAACCATCCACTTGACAGGTGGGGAAACTGAGCTGAGTGGCTTCCCCCAGCCCCTCAGTTAGCCGACAGGAGGAGATCCTGGGCCGCAGGCTCTTCAGTCTGATGTCTTCTGCCCACTGCCTCCTGGTCCTTAAAGGTTCCTGGGTGACCTTGGACTTGGGGCTTGGTCTCAGCTTCGGCTCTGCCCCGTTTCTCTGCCCTCACCGTGTCCTCCATCCTCCCTGCTGACGCCCTCCATCTTCACCCACTCTCAGGAAGGGTTGACGCCTGCAGGACAGGTGTCCCACCCCAGACCTCAGGAGGCAAGCCTGCCCCTCATCCCCACCCCACCCCCAAAACCTGAGCCTCTGTTGCTCTCTGTAAGGAGGAGCCGTTGGCCCCTTGGAGTGAGCCCAGAACTAGGGTAGTCCTTCGAAGCCTCCCCGCTTCCCATTTCTGCTAGGACTGGGCAGTTTAGGAGGAAAGCTGGGATAGCCCTGGGCCTGTACTGGATGGCAGGCATCTGAGTGGGCAGGAAGGGCGTCCCAGTGATGGTCTGGGGTAAGGCAGGGCCTGGATCAGGTTGGGACCAGGGCGAGAGGCTCAGGGCCTGAAAGGGCTAGGAACCCATCCCTGATCCACCACCTGCCAGCTGTGGCCATCTGCCACCTCCCGCCTCCCACCCATGTGGTAGGCTTTCATTGGCTGCCAGTGACCTCACCCTGCTTTGGGGAGGGGGCCTGTCCCAATGCCATGGCTCTGTCCCAGAGTGACCTTCTACATTGAGGTCAGCCCTTGCCCAGGGGCACGCCTGCCTTTGGGGGTCTCGGGCCCAGCCCCAGGTACAGTGGGGCCCCCCCCACCCCCCGCAGGCTTCTCCTGCCTCCAGAGGGTCATACCCATGAGGAAATGACTGTGCTCAGCTCTCCTCAGACCCATGGGAGCAGAGCCTCTCTGGCCTCAAGGGCCCCACTCCTTGGGTCTTGGAGCCAGGGCTGGCCAGAGGCTGCCCAAGAGGAGGCCCCATGGTCAGGCCTCTGGCACTTCCCAAGCCTGCCTCCACAACCGCTGACAGCCAGCAGAGGTCATACCCAGACATGTGCAATTCCTTATCTTTTCTTCCAACCCCAAGGAGGCCTGAGGTCCCATATGTGGGGCGGGGTGGAGGAGGGGCAGTCAGGGGAGATTTAAGGGAGGAGAGGAGCTGGATTCTGTTCACTAGGCCTTGTCCCACTACTCCTGGCTCCTCAGCCCCAGGAGCCAGCCCCGCTTCCATCCCGGACATCAGCTGGGGGATCCACATGTGCACACGTGTTTCTGTGTGTGTATGCACATGTGTTTGTGCCCACACACCAATCTGTGTATGCGTGGTCCACCCAAGAGAAGGAGGGGGGCCGCTTTGGAGAGAGGGGGAAGGACCAGTTGGCTGGAAGGGCGACATCGGCCCTGTGTTGTCCTGCCTGGGCCTTCTCCCTCCTGGCATAGAAAGGCCGGGCCAGCTCACTCTCCCACTGGTGACCAGACAGGGGCCCAGGGGGAGGCTGTGCTGTACCCAGGCCAGAGGTGCCCCCCACATACTCTATGGGGGCAGGCAGGGGTAACCGCAGCTCCTTCCCCCAACCCCAGGTGGAGGCCGAAGAGAGGCAGGACGTGGTAGTGTACGACCAGAGCACCCGCGATGCCAGCGTGCTGGCCGCCGACAGCTTCCTCTCCATCCTGCTCAGCAAGCTGGATGGCTGCTTTCACAGCGTGTCCATCCTCACAGGTAGGAGGGAGCGGGAGGGTGGCTGGCGCAGCGCCCCGACCTGAGCCCTGGCCCAGCCTGAGTGGGCAGCGGGCCCGACCCGGGCTCCTGGCTCTTGTTTCTTGGGCCTGGTGGGTCACTTTTGTGATGGCTTTTCAGGTGAGGAAACTGAGGCCCAGAGTGGGGAGGCAGATTCTCTGCCTCCAAGTGGCCTGTGTCATTTAAAGAGCCAGTGGGGGAAAGGAGCCCTGGGCCGTGTGCCTGGCAACAAGGGGGGGGCAGACATGGGGGAGCCCCGGAGCAGCAGGGATCAGGCCCTGCTTCACCCAGGAAGCTGTGAGCCCAGACAGTGGGGGTGGTGGCTCTGATCTTGTCTCCTGCCACCAGAGGTCAGTGGAAGCCAGGCTGTTCCTCCGTTCACTTAAGAAACATTTATTGGGCACCTACGGTGCACACAGGCCCAGAGGAGTGGGGGAGTGGCTGTCAGGCCTTTGTCGTTCTGTTCCTTCTGCCTCAGGGCCACTTGAGGTGGGGATGGGGGGGGGGGGGGGGGGGGGGGCTGCCTTGTGCGGGAGCTTGGCACCGCCCCAGCCTCAATCCCCAGAATCTGGTGTGTTGTGTCCTCTTGTTCTGAGCCCAGCACTTCCCCGGGGGAGCCGAAGGACAGAGGGGACCTCGCCAAGGCCACAGACACGGCGGCCGCCTCCCCCCCATCCTTTGGTATAAATAGCCCTGGCAGGCTGTGAGAGCAGCCCACGCTGACGTACCTGACATGCCAGGCTCCTTGGAGCTGGATGGAGCCAGCATTGTCCTGGGCGACAGAATCATCCTTACCTGGGTCAGCTAAACCCTGGATCCTAGGGAAGGCAGTCTGAAGGCTCAGTCAGGTCAGGGGACGGGAGTGGGGCAGTGGGCCTTGGGCTCCCAGCAGACGGGCCAAGGCCTGGCCAATGTCTTCTGAGCACTAGAAGGGGCACAACCCTGCCTAGCCAGACCCTCTTGTCTCTAAGAGGGAGCTCAGTGGGCCAGTGGATAGAGCGCTGGAGTTAGGAAGATTTGCATTCAAATCTGGCCTCAAACCTTTCCTGGCTGTATGACCCTGGGCAAGTCATTTCCCCTCTGTCTGCCTCAGTTTCTTTATCTTTAAAATGGGGATAATAATAGTACCCCCCCCCCCCCCCCACCACCAGGGTTGTTGGGAAGACCCGATGAAATTTGTAAAGTACTTAGCATAGTCCTTGGAACCTGGTGGAACCTTGTTTCTATACCTTCCCTCCCTCTCCCCCTTCTGAAAAGTCCACTGAATGAGTGATTCCAAGCTTATACCCCTCTCTTCTCTGTACCCCTGCATTTGTGCGTAGGTGCACACACACACACTCACACTGTCTCACACACTGACACTCATTCACACTCACTCTCACACACTTTTGCACACACACACACTCACTTTCATACTCACACTTCACATACACTAACACTCCCTCATCAGTTACAGTCGCCCTTCTGTGCCTTGGAAGATGTAAAAAAAAGAGAAGATTAGATGAAATGGGTAGATGCAACAGTGAGTTAGACACTAGAGTTGCCTCAAGCGACATTGGCCACACAGGAGAGGTAGTGAGCTCCCTGTCACGGGAGGGTCAGTGGTTTAGGAAATCAGAGGAGGAAGAGGCTTGGGTGGCCATGGATGTCTTCCAGGAGGTGGACCTGAGTACAGCCTTGAAGGACAGATAGAAATTGAATGGGTCTGGGAAGAATGGAGTGTTCCTTGTTGGGACCACCTTCACAGTGGACATCCAAAGGCTGCCAAGCCCTCTTACCTTCCGCCTCCCCATTATTGGGCCACCATCACTAGAGGTCTTCAGGCAAAGGCGCTCACTGGCTTGGGCACCTCCGGCAGCCCGGGATTTTGTGACCACCCAAGTCTTTGATCAAGCTAGAACCTGGCCTGAGGAGTTTTGCTGCCCACGCCTAGATTCTGCTCGGGAAATAATGGGCTGCCCACCGATGGTCACCAAAGGGTCCAGAGGGGCCACCCTGCCAGGCAATGTCTCCCTCTAGGCGTGGCACCCACCGAAGACTCATTCTTGTGCCCTTGGTTTTACCTTAGAGCTGCAGGTGATGCTGGTGAGGGGAGCAGGGAGGGACAGTGGGGAGTGGCCCAGCAGACACCCCACCCCTGCCCCACTCACCTGGGACCTCTGCCTGGAGTTGGGGACAGATGGGAAAGCAGAGTTCACACCCTGGTCTTGCCATAAAATGGATGGATTCCCAGGGGTGGGAGGGGCCTATGTTCCCGACATTACTGGGAGCCCTCTAGGGAAGGGGAGGCCACCAGCTCCCGAGGCAGCCCCTTCCACGGTGGCCCAGCTTTGGGCCTTAGGATGTAGCAAACCAGAGCCAGCCACTTCGTAGCCTTTATGCCTTCCCCCCGCTGCCCCCTACCCCTCAAGTCTGGCTCTCTAGGGCCTGAGCAGAACTGTTCGTGGGACAGCCCTCCCTCGGATACTGGAGGACAGCTCCCAGCATTAAGGCTAGGGTTGCTATGCCTCTCCCCGCATCTTGGATTCATGAGTCTAAGTGGGAGCCTTTGTGTTCATCCGCATCATAGATATCTCACTTGAGTGGGCCCTTCCGAGACCTTTTGGAGGGGGCCTTGGTTTTTGGTGCCTGGGGTGTTCTCTGGCCCTCCGAGCTTTGGGCACATCTGATGGGATGCCAGCTAGGTCATCAAACTAGTCGTTGATAAAAAACGTTCAGTAGCAGCGGGCCAAGCACAGAGCCCTGGGGCACTATGCCAGAGACCTCCTCTAAGGGTTACTCTGCCCAGTTAGTGACTACGCTTTGAGTCCACCCATTCAACCAGTCAGTGAATGGACAGGCATTTATTAAGCACCCACTGTGTGGCAGGTACTGGGATCCAAAGGAGCTCCCAGTCTGATGGGGAGACTCCTCTAGGAATGACACATACACCATGTGAAAGGAAAGGCATTAGCAGCAGGGGAGACTGGGAAAGGCCCCTGAGGAAAGTGTGCTTGGAGGTGAGTCCTGAAGGAAGCCAGGACAAATGCCCAGAGTCCGGAAACAGAGGACGTGCCTGGGTGCCTCTGGGCCTGAATCTACCTACCCTTAACTGGCATTTATTATCTCCTATGTGCCGGGTGGGGCCGCTAGGTGTCGCCACAGTGTGCAGAGCACCTGGCCTGGAGTCAGGAAGACCCATCCTCCTGACTTCAAATGTGGCCTCAGACACTAGCAGTGAGATCCTGGCCATGTCGTTTCACCCTGAAGGCCTCAGTTTCCTCATCTGTAAAATGAGCTAGAGAAGAAAATGGCAAACCCTTCCAGTGTCTCTGCCAAGAAAACCCCAGATGTCGGACATGACTGCCACTGTGCAGAGCATGAAAGCATAGGTCCCGTCCTGGGGGGCCCACGCCGGATGAGGGGGACCCCGGAAGATGAGGGGCGGCTCAGGACTCCCGTCCACCGACAGCCCTCGGCATAGCCCCACGGAAAGCCCCTGAGCCGCGGGGCAGTCTGTGCCCAGACTGGGAGATGTTGCTTCTCCCTGCCTAGCCAGAGAGGGAGGGAGCGTGGCCCGGCGAGGTTCTGTTGGGTTTCAGGGAGAACTCCAAAGCGAGAGCCACTAGGGGTGGCTGGGAGCCTCAGAGTTTTGAGGCAGGGATGAGAGGGTGAACCACTGCCTGGCCTCTCAAGGGACAGAATGAGGGGGCTGTGCAGAGGAGGACTCTGGGGGGAAGGGGCCTACGGGGGGGCTCGAGCTCCGCAGCCCCTGGCACCCAAGGGATCAGCCCTGAGCCTCCGTGGTTTTAGAAATGCCAGTAGCGCAGGGCAGCAAAAGAGGTTCTGCCCCTTTAAGCTGGCTCCAGGTCCCAGGACCATGGGAGGCCCTGCCGCACGTCTGTGTGCTGAGTAAGGAATGTGGGACTGCATGCCTGACCCGTTAGCTAGGCAGGCTCCTTTCCTCTCCCCTGCCCGGGCAGCCCTGAGCTCCCTTGTGCTGGCCAACGTGGTGCCAGTGGACATCCTGGGACCTGCTCAGCCCACGGCAGGTGGGTGGGCTGCTGGAAAGCCCAATGCCCAGATGCCCTGGGCCCATGCTGGCCCTCACCCAAAACCCCTTGGTGCTGGAAGTGGGTCGGGGCCCTCAGAGGCAGAAGCAACCTGGGGAGCACCAAGGTGGGTGTGGGGCGATGTGGGCCTGCCTGCCAGAGGCCCGGAGCGTGGGGGGCAGAGGGTAGGCAGTGCCTTCTCACACTTCCAGCTTGCCCCAATCCCAAGACAATCTCCTCAGCCCCTGCACCCAATCGGGGCTTCACTGGTCATTCTGTCTGAGTCCCTGGCATGGGTGGGTACACACATGTACACACCCTCACAGCACATGCCCACATACGTACGCACATGCACACACGCACACACACACACATACACACACGCTGGTTGGCTGGGGATGCTGCGGGGGCTCTGGTGGAGGCTGGCCACGGGAAGGGGGAGGGAGTGGGCCAGGGCTTTGACCTGCATAGCTTCCCGCTGTGGTCAGTGGCTGTCAGCTGCCAGGATGACACACCTCTCTTTACTTAGACCATGTGCTCTTGTCCCCAGGCATGTGTGTGTGTGTCTGAATATGTGTGCAGTGTGGGTGCTCACACACACATACCCCATACCACACACATACCCTACTCCACACATACCCCATACCACACACCATAACACACACACACCATACCACACACCATACCACACACATACCCTACCCCACACATACACCATACCACACACACACACACACACACACACACACATACACCATACCACACACACACACACCATACCACACACATAACCCTTCTTTCTGGCCTTCAGAGACCAGGTGTCAGGTCAGTGGGCCGGGGCTGAGAGAACCTGGGGACAACCCAGGTCTGATGGTGGGCCTTGGACAGGGCCCTGAGGCTGGCAGAGGGGAGTCAAGGCAGGCTTCCCAGGGAAGAGGGCAGGGGAGGCAGACCCACGAACTTGGCTTCCAGCTGCCTGAGGTCGCAAGACAGTACGGTGGGGGCCGAGGGGCATTCCAGGCCCATGAGCAAAGCTCTGGAGGTGGAAAAGCACTGAGGAGGCCTCAGGAAATGGAGCTGTTCAGTGGGGTGGGGAGGAAGGGCCATTGGGAGGTGATGGAGCCTCTAATGTCAGACTGCCCTGTCCTGTAGAAGGTGGGAGTCGCTGTTGTGTGAGCAGATCTGCACTATCACAGAATTCCTCTGACCTGGGTGGCTGGGCTTCCGTGATCCTGGGCTGCCCTAAAGCCCGGGAATGGAGGGGCCCAGCCCTGGGAGCCCCACTAACCCCACAAGGCACAGGTCAGGGGTCAGCTCCCGGGAGGAGGGCATCTGATGTCGGGCCTTCGGGAGAGCATTGGCAGGCCTCCATCTGCGCCGTCCCCCATGCTTGTCAAGTTGGGGTCCTGCTTCTCCCACAGACCCCCGGGGAGGTAGGTGCCCATCCTGCCCAAAGCCTTCTCTTGAAATTCCTGCGCACTGCTCCCAGTTTGGCCCCTGAAGCTGAGCCCAAGTCAGCCCTTCCTGACGACAGGCCTTGAAGACGGCTCTCGCGTCCTCCCAGGTGTCAGACACCTGCCCCCAGTCCCCAGCCCCCAGCCTGTTCTGTTGGGAGCTGAGCCTTGGGCTCTGAGTGAGAGGCTGCCTTCCTGGCTTCCGCAGAGCTGGATCCCTCCCCTCTAAGCTGAGGCCGTCAGGAATTGAAAACATCTTCTTCCTCCCCAGAGTGTCCTGCCTCACCCTGCAGCCTGGGGGAAGCCCCCCAAAGACCATGATGTCAGCTGCCTTGGCGGCTGGGGCTGTCCCAGCCAAGCCCCCTCCCCCGCCCTGCCCTTTGGGAAGCTGGGAGAGGACGAGCTTAGCGTTGGCTGTGCCAGCCCCCCTTCTCTGTTGCGGGCCTCCCTGCACCCCTCATTCAGTGTCCAACCTTGTTTATTCCGTCCCGCCGGCCCCTACATTGTCCCCCATCCATGTACTGGCCTGGGTCAGTCCTTCCCCTCTCTCACAAGGACTGGGGATTAGGATGGCCTACCTGCCTTTCCTTCCTCAGGTCTCCCCCTCCTCCAAGGCCTGTTCCACCTGTTCCTGAGACCCGGCTCTGATGATGGGAATCTCCCCGTTGCCTCCAGGAGGAGAATTCCAACCCTGGGCTCCAGGAAAAGAATATTCTCATACCTGTGTTTCAATATAATGCATTTCCTTTTTAATTTTCAACTAATTTTCAACGAACAAGAATTTATTTTCTTTCTCTCTCATCCTCCCCAGAGAAAGAAGGAAAGAAACTCTCATAGTCAGTATATGTGCTCTGACAAAATAGACTGCCACGCTGGCCACGTACAGAGCTGTGTGTCTCTTGGGTCCCTTGACTCCCCGCCAGCCCCGCAGGTGGCCACGGGCTCCTCAGTGGCCTCTCGAGCCGTGGCTTCTCATCTTCCCCAAGGTCTCGGTGCTGGGTCATTGGCACTGCTGGTCCTGCTCTCCCCACCCTGCGTCCAGCGATCCAATTTCTTCCCGGGCTTCGTCCCTTGGTAGGGCACGGTAGCCTTTCCTCACATGCCCTGAGTGGTGCTGTCTGGTCGTTCCCCAGTGCGAGGGCAGCCCCTCATGCCCAGGGCTTTGGCAGCATTAGTTTGTGCACGCGGACCTTTGGTTTTCTTTGGAGTCATGTGCATTTTATTTTGTGCATTGGAAACTAGATTCAGGGAACGGGGTGCTGGGTGTCACCTGTCGGATGGCTGTCAGAGAGGGCCGTGGCACCAAGGAGCCCTGCTCTGGGGTCAGAGATCAAAGCTCACACCTGGCTTTCAAGCGCCACCCCCACTCCCACCTCATTCCAGGCTCTCCCCTGCTTTCTTCCCTGTTTTCCAAAGGTCAGAAAGGATGAAGCTCTAGAGGTCTTAGGAAGTCCTGGGTTCCGATCCTTCCTCAGATGCTACTGGGACATGTGACCCTGAACCTGAGGCTCTCCGTCCCCTCTTGGGGCCTCAAGGCCCTTGGCTGTGAGATGGTGACTCATCAGCCCTGTCACCTTTCCGGGCTGATGTGAGGCCCTGATGCCTCCCGGCACCCGGGGGTACCAGGCACGCACACCCTTGCTTGCAGGCTCTGTAGGATTGGGAGCCTGTCAGGGTGACCTGACCTTTTGCAGAAGAGGAAGCTGAGGCCTGCAGTGGGCAGGAGGCTGCCTGTTGGGTCAGACTTTGTGTCTCCCCCCTCGTCCCCTTATGAACTCCCCCTCCCCGACATGTGCGCGCGCACACACACACACATATACAGAGGCAGTGTCTCAGCCTCTGACTTTGTACCCCAAGCATTTGGCACAGGCCCTGACAGGTCAGAGGCGTCTCCCCAGTTTTTACACCATCTGGCCAAGATCATATAGGAAGAAGAGCCCCCTGGCCTTCCAACTCCAGGGGTTTCCCCATTAACATGCTATCTACATGCATGGAAAGGAGATGTTGACCGGACTGCATGCTCACGGGCCTCACCGTAGCATGCGTGCCCTCCGCTGGCTCCCAAGGCTGCACATAGGGGCAGGGGCAGGGTAACCAGAGCCCCAGGCACCTGTGCCAAGGGGCCAATTGCAGCCAGGGATGTGATTCCCTGGGGACATTCCTAGGCACCTGGAAGGAAAGCCAGAGTGGACTGGGGGTGGCCCTGAGGGGAATGGAAGGGGGAGCAGGGAGAAAGTTTTGCTCTGTGCCTCCCTCTTAATGCCTTCTCCCTGGGGTGCCTGGGGCAAGGGCGTACCCAGCCTTGCAGCAACAGCAGCAGTGAGCAATGCCTTCTCTTGCCCTGGCCATCTTCCGGGCTGCTGTGACTTCCGCTTTGTTGAGCGTCGCTCTGTAGCGTGCTGGGGCCCCCTAATTAGCTAGGCTGGGATGTGGGTGGGGCGGGGGGCCCTATAAATCTGACCTGGACCAGGCTCTGTCCAGAGTAGCTGGAGGTTCTGGGTTAGCCTGGGGGGAGGGGTGACGGGCACCCTGGGTGCAGGGGCCCCCTAGCACAGGGCACAGGGCACAGGGCACAGGGATCACCCGTCCTCCACCCCCACTAACTGCCTGGCCCTTCCGTCCACAGGAGGCTTTGCTACCTTCTCCTCCTGCTTCCCTGGCCTCTGTGAAGGGAAACCAGCGGCCAGTCTGCCCATGAGCCTCTCCCAGCCCTGCCTGCCTGTGGCCAGTGTGGCCCTGACCCGCATCCTCCCTCACCTTTACCTGGGCTCCCAGAAGGATGTCCTTAACCAGGTGGGTATGGGCTCCTCCCATGGAGGGGGAGGGGCCAGGACCTAGCCCCAGCCAGAGACCTGACATCATCATCATTGCTACCATCATCATCATTATAAATAATAATAATAATAATAGCATGGGCAAAGTGCCGTACATCTGTTTATCTCCTTTGATTCTTATGACAACCTGGGAGATGGTGTGTGCTATTATTATCCCCATTTTATAGATGAGGAACTGAGGCTAAGTGAGTTGCCCAGAGTACAGAACTAGTAGGTATCAGAGGATTGATTCCAGGCCCAGCCATCTGTCTGCTGTGCCCCAGCAGGGTTAGAGTGGCATGGTGTTAGGGCCCCCCCCCCAGACTAGCGGCCCCAAGGAAGCTGGGCCTCTGGGAGGATTCGATGAGGACCCCCCCTACACACACACATACACACAAGGCGGTGTGCTCAGAGGGCTGAAGTCAGCTGCTGGGCTCCTCCAGGAGAAGCTGGCATCTTTTATAAAGAGGCCACTCCTTCAGGACCACCCACTGACCGGGAGGTAGGGAGGGCATTAAGGGGAGGTGGTCCTGGGTTCTCTGGAGCCCTGGCTACGGGCCCAGGAAGCCCAGGTTCCTCCCCATTCTGCCTTCCTCGATGACACTGGACAAGTCCGTTCCCCACTGTGAGCCGCCGTTTCCCCATCTGTAAGTTAAGGAGCCTGATGCTCTCTGAGCACTGCTGTGGTCCTCCAAGGGGCCCCCCTCAGCCTGAGCTCTGCCTGTGCAGGATCTGATGACCCGAAATGGGATAAGCTACGTCCTTAACGCGAGTAACTCATGTCCAAAGCCGGACTTCATCTGTGAGAGTCGCTTCATGCGTATCCCTGTGAATGACAGTTACTGCGAAAAGCTGCTGCCTTGGCTGGACAAGTCCATTGAGTTCATAGGTGAGGGGCTGGGGGTGGGTTGGGGAGGGGAGGGACCAGAAAGCAGCTGGGATGGGGGGGGTGGGGAGATGGCCAGGGCTTCCAGGAGGGGCAGGGGAGGCTCAGGGCTCTGGGCCTGGCCTGGGAGGGCTTCCCACCCGCTGAGGGCTGCTCTCTCCCCTGGCCTCCCCAGACAAGGCCAAGCTGTCCAGTTGCCAAGTGATCGTGCACTGTCTAGCCGGCATCTCCCGCTCGGCCACTATCGCCATCGCCTACATCATGAAGACTATGGGCATGTCCTCGGACGATGCCTACAGGTGAGTCCGCTGCAGCACCACAGGGCCTCCGTTCCTCCTGGGGCCGACGCCTGGTGCCCAGCTGACCCCCGGCCCTAACCCTGATGCTCAGGACTAGCCTTCCTCATGGCCGGGAGTCAGGATGTCTGCTCCAGCCAGGCGCTCAGTTGGGTTCAGATCTGGGCTCTGCTCTTGACCCCCTCAGGGGCTCAGTCTCTTCATCCGTAAAGTGGTCTTGGCCTCACCGATTCCTGAATGTCCTGGGTTCCCTGGGGCGGGAGACTGGCACAGTGGGGAGGGGGCAGAGGAAGCGTATGCCAATCCTGCCTGGCCCTCCACAGGTTCGTGAAGGACCGGCGCCCGTCTATCTCACCCAACTTCAACTTCCTGGGTCAGTTGCTGGAGTATGAGCGCAGCCTGAAGCTGCTAAAGGCCCTGAAAGCCGAGGGCGAGCCCACAGCCCCAGGGCCCGCTGAGCCCTTGCCTCCCTCCGCCCAGCCGCTGCCACTGCCGCCACCGTCTACCTCAGAGCCCGGGGGAGAGGGCAGCCCCCTGGCGCCCCCCACCAAGCCTCTGTGTGCCAGCGCCCTCCAGCAGGGCCTTCGCGGGCTCCACCTGTCCTCCGAGCGCATCCAGGACACCAACCGCCTGAAGCGCTCCTTCTCCCTGGACATCAAGTCGGCTTACGCCCCCAGCAGGCAGCCCGATGCCCCGGGCCCCCTCGACCCTGGGGAGGCCCCCAAGCTCTGCAAGCTAGACAGCCCCTCTGGAGCGTCCACCAGCCCGGACAGCCCCGACCAGCCGGGGCCCGGGGCCGACCTGCCCCTCGAGGCCAAGCCTCGGCTGAGGAGGAAGCACAGGCATCCTGCCACGTCCCCGGGCCACGGCCTCAGCCTGAACTTTGGCGCTGCCCCCAAGTCAGGGCCAGCGTCTGGTGGAGGGGAGGACAGCCGGCTTGGCCTCTCTGTCCACGGCCTGCCCGGCCCCGGCCCGGGAGGCTGGGCCTTGGCCCTGGACTCCCCTGGGACGCCCTCCCCCGAGGGGCCCTGGTACTTGAACCCAGAGGGCGCTGGGGGCAGCGGGGCGCCCCCGGCCCTCTTCCCAGTGGCCTCCTTTGGCCGGGCTGGCCTTCCGGGCAGTGGCAGTGTGGACCTGAGACTGAGGGACAAGCCCCGAGCAGAGCCCCGGGACGGCAGGCACAGCTGGCATGAAGACCCCGGCCCAGAGAAGTCCTTTAAGCGGAGGAGCTGCCAGATGGAGTTTGAGGAGGGCATGGTGGAGGGCCGGGCGCGGGAGGACCTCGGGACCGTCAGCAAACAAGCCAGCTTCTCGGGAAGCATGGAGATCATCGAGGTGTCCTGACGGCTGCGGCGGGGGCGGGGCCGGGACAGGACAGGAGGGGGCGGGGTTATTTATAAGACGGGCGGGCCGTGCCCGGAGCACCCCGCCCACGGCCCGGGCCGGCCGGCCGGGTCTGGCCAGGTCCCGGAGCCGGCACCGCAGTCCCTGCCCTGCAGCAGCCGCCCGCTGGGCTCCGATGCTCTGGGGACCGACGGCGGCTGTCGGGGCTTTTTTATTTATCGAAGTTGTTCGTTCTGGCGATGACTCTGCGCTCGCAGGGCCTTCCTGAAGCTCTGTTTTTACTGTACGGTATTTAAATCGAAACACACGTTTCTAAGCAATACGAGGCCGCCACCTGGTTCCCTTTGGTAGCACCCTGGGGGCAGAAGGCACACGGGGCCCAGGACCCCTCCCCCCAACCTACAGAGGCTGCTTTCATGCACTTTTTACATAAGAAAAAGGAAAAAGGAAAAAAAAAATCTTTGCCACAAACTGAGCCGCGGAACCTCCCGCCCTGCTCCCCGTCCCCTGCACCCTCCTAGCCCCTTTTCTCCCTCTTCCTCCTTTTCTGCAGTCAGGCTGTAGCAGAGACAAGGGCCGCGGCTGAGAGTGGGGTCTTAGAGGTCCCAGGGGGCCGCAGGCAAGAGAAGGAGGTGATGACTGCCCCTGGGGGGCACGGCCCCTTCTTGCTCTGGGATGGGAAGGCAGTGTACCTGGGGCTCGGTCCCCTTGGACAGGTGCCCCTGGCAGGGCATTAACCCTGGGCCCAGGTGATGGGGTGACAAATGGGCCCTGAGCAGGGGGGACAGAGCCAGGATGTCGAGTGACTTCTGAGCCCCCCAAGGTCCTTCCTGCTTGACGCCTGTAGTCGCCAGGGCTCATAATGAGTGAGAGAGAGAGAGAGAGTGTGTGTGTGTGTGTGTGTGTGTGTGTGTGTGAGAGAGAGAGAGAGAGAGACAGGGGGCAGGGTAGGGGGCTGCTGCCTGTTCT